TTTTTATATATACATGTTTTGATAAAGAGTAAGTTATGAGTGATTCTTGACCTAAGTGCATTCTAATTTACGCTGTTCTAGTCTTTCTTAAGTCTCCTCTCCCATTAGTGATAACATGCTTTAGAAACAATTTGTTTTTAAACTCCCAAACTGAAATACTTTTAAAAGTGTCAAATCAAGAATTTTCTCTGTTATATAAGGAAAAAAACAGTAAAATATAGAGAACATTAGACCAAATTATTTAAAACTTTCCCATTTTGAAAGAGTAATTGAGTTTCAAGACACAGAGCACTTTCATGACTACAAGCAATTAAAGCATGTCCACAAAGCCACAGTGCTGCAAGGCACTCAGAAAAAAGTGACCTGTACAGGAATGTATGCACCTGGTTTCTCTTCAACTTCTATAAACAATAAAGTATTTTTGCTATCTATATGATACTTTTAATCAGACAGATTCTTTTGTTCAGAGAAGATAGGCAGAAGATGGAGAATTTCCCAGTCTCAAGGAACTCATTTCATAGATGGCTCCATATGTCTACCCATTGTAATCTGCCTCAAAAGAACTGAATAGGTGCTGGGGAAATGGCTCAGTAGAATAAGCACTTCCCTGGCAAGCACAAGGGCTTGAATTCAATTTCTGGTTAAAAAAAAAAAAAAAACTGAATGGTACCATGGTAATGATTGAGAAAAGCAGAGAGGCTGAGATTTATTCCCATCTATGACAGTCAGGAGAGTTAACCCAGCCAGGAACAAAGACTCTGCAGAAATACTTGGCAAGGGGTAGCAAGGGGTTATCCAAAACATGTCTAGCATTGACAGTAAAGACTGGCTAATCCCAAAGTAAGCAGAGCCTTAAAACACAAAGAGTAACCAGAATTATGTGGACCAAAGTACAGGAGAACTGGGAAAACAGCTCTGCTTTTAAAGAAGTGTTAAGATTTTTTAAAGAAGTGTTAAGATTTTCTCAACAATTTGTAGGATCTTTGACTTGGACCTATCTCTGGTGCTGGAAAGGAAAATAATCTGTTCAAAAGGAAAGAACAAATAGGAATGAAGAAAAGGACAAAAGAAAGAAAGAAGGAATGGAAAAAGATATTTATGTATGTATATACAGGATAGCTTAGCTAATTGCTAAGGTCCAGGAATCACAATTTTATTGCAACCTTCAAAATACCTCTCTCTCTCTCTCTCTCTCTCTCTCTCTCTCTCTCTCTCTCTCTCCTCTGTCGCTGTCTCTCACTCTCACTCTCTACTTCCTAGCCACTGTGAGGTGAGCAGATTCCCTCTGCCACTCCCTGCTGCCATAATGTCTGCTTAGGCCTGAAGTAAAGGAGCTGACCAACCTCTGAAACCATAAACAAAAAAGCGTTTTTCCTTGAAGTTGCTTCTTCTCAGGTATTTTGTCACTGTGTCAGAAGCTCATTAACTAACCATCTTTCTCAAATTTGTTGCTAAACATCAGCTCTTTTCTTCCCTTGGATGGGAAATATTGTTACAATCTTCCATTCCTCATTCTTTTTACCTACTTTAAGATCTTATGTAAGGCCTAGGTTTTATTTACTAGATCGCTTTCAGATTTCTCTCTTCCTTTATCCTAGCAAGGTTATCAGCCTAGTGAACCTGTCACTTCTAGAACCAGAGTTTTTTGTTTCCTTAAAACATCACTTTCAACATCTTGCTCTCCTGCCCAAGAGTTACAGTAGGTTCCTATTTTCTCCAGGTTCAGCTTCAAACTCCCCTATCTATGAAGCCTTCTGCAGCCTATAAAATAAGCAATTAATACCTGTATTACAAAGTGGTATAAGGATTAAATAAAAGAACTTGTGACAAAAGCTTTCATTAGAACTGTTAAAAAAAGTTAACCCCGGTCTGCCGTCCGTTGGCAGGCTCTAGGTTTTCTGTTGAGGGCCTGGTGAGTGGGAAGTTCCTCGGGTTTATACTCTGGAGGGCGGTAACGGGCTGTCCACCTCTCGTGCCGGGTCTGGGCACTGGAACGGGCGTCGCTCACGGTGAGAGCCGGCACTGCGCACCGCAGCTCGGCCTCGCGCGCTCTTCGCGGCAGGACCATGCTCCTCACCGCAGTCCTCCGCCGCGGGCGCAGCCCAGGCCGGCACTGGATCGGGAAGCACCGGCGGCAGCAGTACGTTTCCGAACAGGCCAAGCAGAACATGATCCACCTCCTGGAGATAGAGGCGGAGAACCAGTGCCGGCTGAGCACGCCCTACACGAGCACCGAGCAGGAGTACGGCCATGCCGCTGAGCGCAGGGCCATCAAGGCGGCCATCGAGGCCATCAAGGCGGCCTGCGCGGCCAAGTTCCCCCCACACAGGTTCGCCGCGGACTAGCTGGACCATCTCAACGTCACCAGGAAGTGGTCCTGACCCCGAACCTTGCCCTTCAACCGGAGAGACACCTGGCCCAGGAACCGAAAACCTCAAGTTTGTGGAAGTTTATGAATGGTTAGCCCAGTAACTCACTAAAACAAGCAAACCTGAATACTTGGGCCTGTGTAGAGAATATCTGGGGTAGTGAAGTGGATGAGCAATGATATTTTGGGTTTCTTATTTCTGCAGCTTCATAAAATGATATCAGGAGTTTCCTGGAGTCAAATGATACAAAAGGTATCTTGAAGGTTGCAATAAAGCTGTGATTCTGGGACCTTGGCTTAAGGATGAGCCCTTGATAGAAGTTTGTCATGCAGTATTACTTTACAGAACTAGTTGTCTAAATTTATATAGAAATACAAATTTTTCCAGCTCAACATACTATTAAAATAGCACTTCCTTCTGGGGTCTGACTACTGAAGTGGACAGTTAAGTGAAATAAAGTTATTTATTGGAATTGTTAAAAAAAAAAAAAAAGTTAACCGCACTTTCCATCACACTACAGTTTCCATGGTCCTGCTTATTTAATCCATCCTTATTAGCCACTGGCATCCTCCCACTACCAAGATGCTATTTCTTTTTCTACAAAAAATAATACATTCATTATTTTTCAAAGCAACTTCTCCCCTGAAATATTGCAAGCTACACCAGCCCACACAGACTTTGATTAATCTTTCATTAAAACACAAGGTGAATGCCTCCTCGTCCAAGAGGGAATGCATTCCAAAACCCATAGTGGAAACTAGACAAGCCACAGAAAGTACCAGACCCAATATAGATTACTGCTTTTTCTACACATACATGCCTGTAATCAAGTTTAATTCATGAATTAATCATAGTAAGAGAGTAACAATCATGATTAATAAAATAGAACAAATATAACAATATATTCTCATGAAATTGATATGAATATTTTATCTCAAAATATCTTTCTGTAGTCATTCTTTCTTATCTTGTTATGGTGTAAAACAGTGCCTTTGTGAGGAGAGGAAATGAGGTATATCAGGTAGGCATTGTGAAGTAGCATTTGGCTGCTATGTAAAGGTTAAACACAAGAAATTGTTTCTGAGAGAGTTGAAACAGATGGTCTGATAACTCAGACAGCTTCTAAGTGATGAACAGGCCGTAGAGAATGTAGCATGGAGAGCCTAGACAAATGGATGAGTCACGCCCCTAGTGAGACAAAAAACCTAACACAAGATTTCACTGTGATCCTACTCAGACAAGTGCCTGTATATTTCAGATGTCTATATTTGGGAGGTGTAATTTTTTAAGTTCATTATATTAGCCCTTTGTGTGAGGAATAGCTGGCAAAAATATTTTCCTATTCTATTGGTTGTGTCTTCACTCTGTTGGTAATTTCTTTTTGCCACACAAAAACTTTTTAATGATATCCCAGATGTAGATCCTTTTTAATATTTCCCATGTGATTGGGGACTTGTTCACAAAGTCTTTGCCTGCACCTATGCTTTTAAGAGTTCTACCCGATCTATATTCCAGTAGATTAAATGTTTCTGTTTTAATATTTAGATCTTTGATCCATTTAGATTTTACTTTACTGCATGTTGAGGCATGTAGGTCTAGGTTTAAATCTTCAAAATGTGGACAGCCAGGGGCCGGGGAGATGGCTCAGTGGAATAAGTGCGCCCCTGGCAAGTGCAAGAGCCTGAGTTTAATCCCTGGTTCCAAAAAAAAAAAAAAAAAAAAAGTGAAAAGCCAGTTTTTCCAGCTCCATTTATTAAAGAGGCAGTTTTTCTTCCAGTGAGTGTGTTTGATCCCTATCTTAATTATAAGGTGGTTGAATGTGTTTGTAGTTGTTTCTGCATCTTCCATTCTGTTCTATTACCTTTAGATTCTATTATCTTTTTGCCAGTACAGTGCTGATTTTATCTTTTTTAAAAAAAATTGAAAGAGAATACAAAATGGTTTTTAAAAAACAACTCATGGCCAATCCTAGCCCAGGTCCAGTGAATGTGTGGGAGAGCTTCCTGCTACCCTGCGCCAGCGGAAGCAGTCCCAGCCCAGGCGCAGTGTGGGCTGGACCATCTCCCACCCCCTTGAGCCGCCTCCCACCACTCCACAGCAACTCCCCGACCCCGTGCACTGAGTAAGAATTTTGCCACGCTCTGGGAACCCCCAGACCCAGTACTAGCCAAGGTCCGGTGAGTGTGTGGAGAACTTCCTGCTACCCTGC